GCCGAACACACAGTGGAGGTGGGGGCCTGGGTGGCCGCTCCGCACAGTGAGGCCTGGGGGGTCCTGTGGCTCTGCGCAGTGCAGAGGAGGCCGGTCCCGGCGTCTCCGCTGCCTCGCATAGAGAAGGTGGGTCACAGAAGGGGAGGGCAGTTGTGGGTGATCAGGCTGGCAGGGGAGGGCAGTTGTGGGTGATCAGGCTGGCAGGGGAGGGCAGTTGTGGGTGATCAGGCTGGCAGGGGAGGGCAGCTGTGGGTGATCAGGCCAGCAGGGGAGGGCAGTTGGAGGTGATGGGGCTGTCAGGGGAGGGTAGTTAGGGGCTAACAGGCCAGCAGGGGAGCAGTTAGGCATCAATCAGGCTGGCAGTGGAGTGGTTAGGGGGAGATCAGGCTGGCAGGCAAGTGAGCAGTTAGGATCCAGCAGTCCCGGATTGTGAGAGGGATGTCCAACTGCCAGTTTAGGCCTGGTCCCGGGCCTAAACCAGCAGTTGGACATCTCCCAAGGGGTCCCAGATTGTAGAGGGTGCAGGCCAGGCTGAGGGACAACCATCCCCGCCCCTGAATGAATTTCATGCACCAGGCCTCTAATTTGCTATAAATTACATTGTTATGAGATAAACCACTACCCTGCCTAGAGAAACTTTATTTTAAGGCTGATATATGTTTGGCATTTTGACTGTCACCCCTCAGTTGTTACAGTTAGAATATAATATTCTGTTGTACAGAAGGTGTTTCCCTTTAAGGTTAAGCAGTTTGATAGAAAAAAATAATGCCATACAACTAGTTTTCTAGAGCTGGTTTACACTGGCTCCCCAGTGATGACTTGTAACTTCACTAAGTCTATGCTCAGTGACTTCACATTGGAAGCTTGAAATCAGCCATGGTAGAAATATTTACACCTTAGAAATTGGCAAACATTATAAACCAGGACATCCTCCAACCCCAAGAACCAGCTGTTAAACATTTACCAGCATACTACTCAATATAGCCTAAAATCCTCCTAAAATATATCCTCTTGAAATTCATTAAGCCACCTCAAATTTTGTTAAAAAGGAAAGATATGAAGAAATATAATCAGAAGGAGATGGGAGGTACATTATTTGGACCTTCATTCTTCCCACAGACCCATCTCCTCATTCCCAATATGACTGACTTCATAAGAACAATATAAGAAAGGATTCGCCTGAAGGGATATATATGCCTGTTGCTTTTAGAGAACAGAAAGGGAAGATCTTGACCAAAAAAATGTACATATTAAAAAAATATGAAATCATTTTGTCTTACTAGATGTACCTTTAAGAGAAATGGTCATAAAAAATAAAGAAAAAGAAAACACACACATAAATTTGTCATAAGATGTCATTCCTTCATGCAGTTTTTGTACATGAAGGAATGTACACGTGTATTAACTAGATTAAAAATCTCTACCTTTTTTTGTTTGTTTTTTGTTAATCCTCACCTGAGGATATTTTTCCATTGATTTTTCTTTTTTAGAGAAAGTGAAAGGGAGGGAGGGAAGGAAAGAGAGAGAGAGAGAAAAGAAACATTGATGTAAGAGAGACCTTGATTGGTTGCCTCCTGAACAATCCCTGACTAGGGCAGGGAAATGAACCTGCAACCCAGGTATGTGCCCTTGACCCAGAATCGAACCCGTGACCCTTTGGTCCACGGGCTGATGCTTTAACCACTGCTCAGTCAGGGCTCTACCTTCTTCTTATTCTCACATTTTAGACAATGACAGGAGATTAGACAGAAAATCACATTTATATAGCAACTTAAATAAAACATGAATTTTCTATTCTACGTCTGTGAACTCTTATTTCTACTGTACCCACAGGCACTATCAGGCATATGGTCTATACAAATAATGCCAGAGACAATAAGTACTTTGAAATAACAGAATATAATCTTAGTGTTTTTTCAGCTATCTGCTTCTTAATTTCAACTAACAAAGCCTTCATCATATTTATATCACTCAAATTTTCTATTACTATTTTCACAAACACAACATCTTTTTAATACTCAACTGTTGAACAAGAAGTATTTATGTGATTTTCTTTCTAAATTTAAGGACACATATTTTAGTTATGAAAAAATGTTTGCCCTTTTCAATTGAGCTGATGTACTTGAGAAACTAGGCAAAGTATTTATGACTCAGTCACTTTGGTCCATTGTCTGTATGAAAAAGAATGACACTCTCCTGTAATATTACCTTAGCAAAAAAACCTATTTCAATTGTGACTGTTAGTTTTAAAGATATCAACTATTGTCTCAGAAGAAAATATCAATCATACACACACTTTATAACAAGTATATTCTTTTCAAAGTCTAGAAATTGAATTCAGATATTAGTGAAGAAATTGATCTTTAAAGTAGAATATTTTACACAGAAAACACCTGCAATAGGAAATGTTGGAAGATTTTGATTCTGAGTGTTGTTTGTTCATTTATAAATTTTAAAAGCTATCAAAACAACCTTCATCCTGGCAACTAAATAAATTAGTTAAACTAAATTTGCTTTCCAATCTTTTAACTAAAGAATATTACTCTTCTAATAATCAATCATAAGATTGCTATCCATGGTAACCATATATTGTCTATTAGAATTTCCCACAACTGTGAGTTTGTTCCTTTGAAGATTTAGAATTTTAAAAACATTTTTTTGTAAAATACTTGTTTACACTAATATTTCAGGATCCAAGTCATCCCCAGGTTCTCAAATTTCCATTAAATATAAAGAAAAAAGATAAATAGTAAAAAATAAATAAAATTCAAGTAATATTAACAAGTCCTCATCTCTAGGTCATGGTATTTTACATTAAAAGATTAAATTAACTAACTTACACTCTATTCCCTTGAACAATATCCACATAATCTTCATATCGAGCAAAGTAGCCATCAGGACTCAGGGCTCCCCAGAAGTTGGACCACAGCTTTCCATGGCGAGTTACAAGAGGAGCAATTATCTTTCTAAAGAAAAAAAAAATCCAGGTAACTATTTGTTTTAATCACCACAGAATTATGGTTCTGAACTTAGCTTGACACAGAATCATTCAAGTTCATTTAACACACATGTAGTTAGTCCATAAAACTAAAAGTAAAATAGAGAAATTGCTTCCCAACACTTTTTCTTAAATAAATACACTGCTGATTTTCAGTGATATTTCTTAAAAAGAGTAACAAAAGTAACTCAAAATGTGAATTAAAGTATAAAAAGGATTTTTAAAAGTCCCTTTCTTATGTCCAAAAAGGTGAGACTACCATATAGTATTTCAGAAACTATAATATATAAAATCAAGTATTTCATAATAGTCCATGGTGTATTAAGGTGTCAAATAAATATCTGTTGAACAAAAAAAATGAATGATGATGGGCTAAAATATTTGTAAATAGGTCAGTTTTCCTAAAGTTAAGTCCTGAGGGCAAGTGCTGGGGGGTACAAGATGCCGGGGGAGGGAGGGGGGAGGTCAATGGGGAAAAAAAAAAGGAGACATATGTACTACTATTTGTAATACCTTAAACAATAAAATTAAATTTAAAAAAATAAAGTATGTTTATAATTTTTACAGCTTTTAAAATGGGTTGCGCTAACGCTGGCAATATGAAACATTTTTCTGGTCCTTTAACTATTTTAGAAAACAAAAGAGTAGATAACTACCATAGCACTCTAACCACCTACCAGGAAATAGTCCCTTTGGGAAAAGCATGTTACAAATCCAAAACATGTCACATTTCTTCTTAGGGAAATTTAATTTACGACGTGTCAACATTTTCCAAATAAACTCACAAAACCTGATGTTCTTCTAAAATTACTTCTAAAGTATTGTGCACTGTAGTGGTACCTCACAATTTTTAAAAGAAGCTCACAAAACTTCTCCAAGAGAAAGCTATGCACCAACTATTCTTCATAAAAAAACCTATTCTCACAACACACCAATGCTATGAAGACCAGGCGTGACCTTTCTCTTACAATAAAAAAGTGAAACTTAGTCTATAAAATATACAACATGCAATGAATAATTTTGGTTTATTTTTCCTGATTCCTATTAATAATGAAATATTAACCAGAAACACTTATACCTTGATTTGTTTAAAATACATGGATAAATTAGAATCTATATATAATGTTTATTTAAGAAATGATAATTCAATATCAATAACTGACAAGAACAAATATTTAATAGAAAAAAATCTTGTAATTAAAATCTCAGCTGCCTCCCAAAGATGGATGGGAAAAGAAATGTTGAAAATCAAAATCTATCTGAAGTGTGCCTCAATGTTTTGAGCATGGAAATACAAGAATAGAAGCTGGGGCCCTGGCCAGTGTGGTCCAGTTGATTTGGTCATTGTCCCATGCACTGAAGGGTCACAGGTTCAATTCCTGGTAAGGATACATACCCAGGTTTCGAGTTCAAACTCACTTGGGGTGCATACAGGAGGAAACCAATCAATATTTCTCTCTCTCATTGGTTTTTCTCTCCCTCTCTTTCTTTGTCTCTCTCTAAAATCACATATCCTCAGGTGAGGATTAAAAAAAAAAGAATAGCATCTGGGAGACTAAATATCTAAAGGAGTAAAATTTGGAGCACGGCAGTCAAAATCAGCAATAAGAGGAGGAGAGGAACAAGAGAACTGATGAGATGCTGGAAAGCCACATGCCCTAAGATGTGACCTATCCCCTGACCCTCTAGCCTTCATTCAAGTCTACTAAATCTTGAAAGAGTCTTGGTCTATGTCAATGCTTTATGTAAACTACATGCTTGGATGCAGGTGTGTATCATGTGAAAATAATCCTTAGATAATTAACAGAAATTTATGAAACTGGAGAAATAACCAGTTTTATTGACTCTTTACTTATGAGGAAAATTTTATAATTGACAAGGTTTAAAACATTATATTAATATTAAAGAGGATATATGTTAAATATGTATATGAATTCATTAACAATTCACTATAAGAATTACTAAATACCTATCAAGTGTCATATAATAAAAACATTAAATATTATAAAAAAGCATATCCTATATAATAACAGGCTAATATGCAAATAGACTGAACGGCAGAACAACCAAACAACCGGTCACTATGACATGCACTGACCACCAGGGGGTGCGCCCGGAATATGGAAGGCATCAGCCGCTGCAGGATGGCATAGCAGGTGAGCAGGGTGTTGGTTGCTGTCATCGGGGCAAGCCTTTGGTGATTACTGAAAATTCTATGCTACCATGCACCTGCGGTCCCCCGCCCCCCCCCCCCCCCCCCGGTCCC